ACAAGAAAGGACTGGAGTCTCCGCCTCCATGATGCTTTATGGGCATATCTAACTGCTTATAAGACCCCTATAAGAATATCTTCATACCAATTGGTCTATGGCAAAACCTGTCACTTGCCAGTCGAACTTGAACATCGTGCTTATTGGGCCATCAAGACCATTAACTTTGACTATGATAAAGCCGATGAGTGTAAGACACTTCAACTCAATAAGTTGGAAAAATCATAAATGATGCCTATGAGAGTTCGAGGATTTATAAAGCTAAGTCTAAATTGGAACACGATAAACAAATTTTAAGAAAGGAGTTTTTCCAAGGACAAAAGGTTCTTTTATATAACTCCCGTCTTGCATTGTTTCCTGGGAAGTTGAGGTCACGATGGTCTGGTCCATATTATGTACACCGTGTTGCTAGTCATGGTGCCATTGAGGTACAAGATCCAAAAACTAGAAAGCTGTTTAAAGTCAATGCTCATCGTTTGAAGCCTTTCCTTGAGCTTGAGGCTCACGTAATTGAGGACATGTTCCTCATCGATCCGGTCTATTCGGATTAATCTCTTTTAGGGGTACTTCCCCCATTGCGCCTAGCTGAAGATGTTAAACTTAGCGCTCCTGGGAGGCAACCTAGCCTGGTGTATCTATTCAGTTACCTTGGATTGATTTTCGAGTCTCAGTCGTTGTATCTCACTCCTACTCGCTAGCTCCATAACTGTTTAGTATTTGATATGGTTTTCGATTGTTTTACATAACATCCTTGCAGAGATTGTACTTCCACATCGAAACAATTGAGATAATAACCGTAATATGTTCCAATGTTTCCCTATATGTCTCCACCTATACTTGTTCATTTAGTTTCCCTATTCTTTGGTGCCAACACTGGGCAGTGTTGTCCTTTGTTTTGGGGTGGACCAATGACCTTGCTTTTATGGAAATTACAAATTGAATTGCATGTCATGTCAAATTTGGATAAATTATTGTTCATGTATGACTGGGAATTGGTATTTTTGGGTAATTTTGAATCTTTAATCCATGTTTTGGCATATGTGGTCCACATCATTGTCCATCTTTAATCCATGTTTTAGCATATGTGGTCCATATTTACTTTACTTCTCACATATGCACACTAGTATCTTTTGTGGGGTATAGGTCTAACCTTGTGTTATATATTACATGTGTTGGATACGAGTTAGTAGACCTTGAAAAGTGGATGTCCTTGGCATAATGATAGGGAAATATGCATGATTAGTTAATGCCTTTCACGAAGTAACCGAGCCTCTTGCCTCAGTAAGCAGTGAGTGTTCGAGTAAAAAAGTGGAAGGTTAGGAAAAAATAAAGTGTTGGTAATGCTAGTTTAGGTTCAAAGCCTAGTTGACTTGAGTTAATAAGCTCTTTGGGGTGTCTTTACACCTAATGCCCTAAAATCGTCTGGTTTGGAGTCATTAGCCTAAATCTTGCTACATTGGTCATCTAGAAAGCTTAAGGGACTTAAACATTGCACAACTTGTCATCTTTGATGAAAAAAAAAAATCACGAAAATTTCGTATGCATAAGTGTAGTCATGAATTTATGCCTTGGGTATAACTCGTAAGGTAATATTAATGAGTTGAATTTATTGTGATATGTAATATAAGGATAAAAGAGTACAACACATAATTGGATACTAGTTCACTTTAAAAGGAAGCTAGGCATTGATTGCTATTGGTTATAAGCTAAATTGAACTTTGTGTGGGGATCATAGTATTAGTTCATGTAATTGGAGGTTTGGGATTGCTTGGGAATATTAATCTTTCTTATACTTGACATGATAGCTAACTTGATGATGATGTGTATGCAATCGTTTCTTAGGAATAGTAATCTTTCTTATACTTGACATAATAGCTAACTTGATGATGATGTGTATGCAATCGTTTCTGATTCCATAAAAGTAATTGAGCTAAGTGTGCGCACAATTGTAGATGATTGTAGGTATCATCTTTGGAAACCCTCATAAGGCTATAGCTCGTCCACCAGGGCAACCTAGGGGTTTAAGGCCTTATTGCATATGGTAAATGCAATCGAAAGTAGCCTGCGAAAATGGCACATCTTTAGTTAGGAGTCAGTTAGAGTAGCAATTTTGTGAACTTATCTCTCTTTGTCTTTATTTGCTAGAGGACTAGCAAAAGCTTGTTTGGGGGTAATTTAATAAGTACACAAAACTTGTTATTTTATACTTAATAATAAATGATTAATTAATATTTTTTATTAAATAAACGTTCTTATCCTACTTTTCATGTTTTATAGGGGCTGATTTCAAAATGAGAAGAAAAGAGGCAAAAATAGCAAAAATATGATTACACGGCTAGTGAAATTCAAATTCAAAGTCGGTTTTTTTCCATCAAATCAGCAAATATCAAGCCAAATTGCAAAGCATATCAAGTCAAATTGGAAAGCAGTAAGATTTTAGGAAAGCAACAAGATTTTAGGAAGATTTTATATATTTTTTTATTTTATTTTATTTTCACTCCTGAAATTAGAATTTTTCTCTCCTAATCATTCCATTCTAAACTCTATAAATAAGAACATATATAGAGGAGGTGGGATGTACAAAGTTAGCGAGAGAAAATAATAAAGAGTTAGAGATTTTTTGTCTTTGAATTTCTTTCTTGTAATTCTTTAGTTTTATTCAATGAAGAATTTTCTTATTTTTATGTTTTATGTTCTTATTAATATGCTAGTTTAAACACCTCATCTCGAGGGAAAGATAAATAGTTTTATCTTTTATTTCTTGTGTAAATTTTCCTCTTAAGAATATTATTTTTATTCTTCTATTCTATATTCTTATATTGATAAAAAAAATTAGAGAGAGGATTCTTCGTGTTTGCCAATTAATGGTAATTCGGAGAACGCCTACTTCTATTTACCAAAGATACATTAAATTAAGTAAAAACATATTCTCTCATATATAAGTAATTGTTATTTAACGCTAAAATTTCCGTTCATCTTTCCAAGTTGTAATTGGACGGGTGAAGTGATTTGCTTATAGGAGGTAAATTTATATAAGAAAAATATAAATTTTATTTATATGGATCCGTGATGGTGGATTTTCATCCCTCGAGACTTTTTTCATTATTTGATCAAAAATTATTTAATCTTATTTTTATTTAATTTTATTATTCAAAAATTCAAAATTGTTTTAAAAGTTCTTTCACCTTCCCTTAAAATTTTAGCTTTGAAATTGAATTTAGAGTTCTAATCTTGAATGTGTGGCTCGACTCTGCTTATTCTATACAATTTTTAGTTTAGTCTTTTGCAGGTTTTTCTTTATTTTTGCACGAAGTATAGAAGAACAACGATGAATTTCATAAATCTACACTCGTCAACCACCTATTGGGTTACTGTTTGGGCAACACCGGAGACTCAACGAGTTGTTTCAAAGCGGATACTTTTACGAAAGTATTCATTATTTGTGATTCTATCTCCTGAGTTTTTTTTTTCCTTTCTCACAAGATAAAGAATTTCCATTATAAAACGACCTCCTCACTCTTCAGATGATATAGACAGCCCAAATACAAGACGACGCAGCGTAGGACCCATTAACAACGGCGGATCCAATATTGTGTTAATGGGGTGAGCTAATATTTTTTTTATGGTAAAAAAATAATAACAATTTTTGGAGTGGGCTTGAGCCCACCCAAACATACACATAGATCCGCCCTTGGACCCATATCAGATTAATGTATTGTATTTGTCAAGGCTGGTTGTACACACTGTTTCATTCGTGGACCAGCCCCCTGTTTTCCATTCAAAATGGCCTCATTTTATTATTAGACCATGCCCACAGCATATATTAATTGTGAACCTCATTCACAAAAACAACACACATATATTACTGTATACAGGGCCGGCTCGAGCCTTAGGCGAGTTAGGCGATTGCCTAAGGTCTCAGCCAACAAGAAGGCCCCATAATTTTTTATTTCTGTATATATTATAACTTTCCTAAAACAATTATAGTATTTTCTTTAATTATTAAATTTCAACGTATAGGACCTAAAAGATTTTTATTCTTTATTTTTTTTGCGGGCCCCCAAAATTTATTGGAGCATTAAACCAAATTAATTCGAAATCAATTTTTATTATTCTATAACTTAAATTAGTTTCTAGTTTTATTAATTTTTGTTATCATAAAATTATACATTTTGTTTATAATTTTTATTTATATTGTTAAATATGACTATTAGAAAGTACATAGCCAATTAATTAACTATAGAACTAGAGTTTGGAAAAATTTTAATGATAGGTTTAAAAATCACTAAACAAATAATTAGCTGATATAAATATATAAATAGATTTAATTAAAAGGCTGCTTTATTTTTTTTTCGCTTAAGGCCTCATGTTGTATTGAGCCGCCCCTGACTGTATATATGACCAGAGGTAACTTAGAAGGACGAAAATACTCTTTACCCCCAGGAAGACTATATTCATAATTTTAATTGTGAACCTAGAAATTTTTTTACCAATCATAATTTGACATACAAATAAATGTATTTATCCACTTTTTTAAGACCCCGTATCAAATTTTGAACAGTACTAGGAGATCTACACCACTTCCCCACCATTATGGATTAACATATCTTATCCCAAGGGTCACTACCTTATCACCACATATTTTTGTGTACATACTATACTACTCGTCCCATAAAAATAGTCCCTTTTGGGAGTGAGACTTTTTAAGCGCAAAAGCAATTAATGCATTGTCTATCCAAGTTTGAATTGGTAATTTTCGAATGGGGCAATTATTTTGCAACGGCCAAAATGACAATTAAATGGGGGACGGGAGGAGTATATGTATATAGGCAATACTAACCAATTCACCTTGTAGACTGTTGGCTTATGGCTTAGACCTTGAACCAACAGGCCAAGGTTCGAAACTGGTATATTGAAAAAAAAAAAAATGTACATAGGCAATAATAGAAAATTTCAAAACTATAAAAGTTATTGTAACAGTAATGAGAAAAGTAGATTACCTTTCAGAGGAACATCAATAACAGTACCGGCTTGAAGCTGGTTGGGATCGGTGAGTCCATTGAGCTTCAGTAGAATGTCCGAGGTGGTATTGAACTGCTGTGCAATCCCATCCACCGAGCTCCCAGCAACCACCACGTGTCCGTAATGGACGACGCTCTGTCCCTCCACCTCATCGCAGCTGCACGGGAGTGGGATCCACAGCTCCTGCCCGACGTTGATCTTGTCGGGATCAGGGATACCATTGACGGCCTGGATCTGCTGAAACGTCACCAGCGCCGAGAACACATCCCTCGCGATGTGGTCCAAGCCGTCCTCCGGAACCACCTTGTACACCGGCCGGTGGTTGGATATTCCGGTGCCATTTCTGCAGAGACAGGGGAAGGGGATTTTGATCGTCTGATTCGCGGGCACGGACTGGTTGGTTGGGGTGGTGGGAGGGAGGTTGTTGGCGCCGAGGAGGGCGCGGAAATTCTTGACGCCGAAGAGGGTTTTGACGGCGGCGAGAGTGGTGCTGTTGGGCAAGACGTAGTCGATTAGTGCGCTGCAGGTGTGATTGGAAGTGCAGATGAATGGCTTAGAATTCTGAGCCGTCGTCGGCGGTGGCGTAACGGCGAGAAGAGAGATTAAGGTTAGAGAGAGAGAAATTCCGGCGAAACCCATTTCTAAGGGGTTCTAAGGTTTTGGATGAGTTAAGTGGGTGGAGAGTTATGTGTGGTGGGTACTAGAATGCGCGGAGGGTAGTGGGTGTGTCGTGAGAATAAGGAAAATGGGGTTTTAGTAACACGTGGTGGGGTAGTGCTTTAGGGGGTGAAGGTTAGGGGAAGGTGCACTGGGTGTGCAAGTTAGTGTTCAGGGATTCTGTCAAACACTATGTGGAAAGATAGGAGGAAGACGATCGAGAGAATCAAAAGAGTGGGAAAACAGGAAATGGGGAAGCGGGACTTTTTTTAATTTCTTTTTTGGGGGAGTGTTCACATGCTTAAATGCAAGACTTTGACTTGGTTAAGCACGACTTTGATGTTTGAACAAGGAAATGGAGAGATTTATGGTGTGTTTGGAATGAAAGGAAGGCAAGAGATGAAGAAAAAATATTAATAATAATTTTTTTTTAAAAAACATGGAATAAAGGATAAGGAAAGGGGAGAAAAATTTTAAAGAAGATAAAAGGGGATGAAAAAAAAATACCTTTTCTAATTGGCTTTATGGGAAAAGTTAGAAAGATTAAAGACTGAACGAAAATGTAGAATGATGTCACTGTCAATGAACTTATCTCATTAAGTGCAATTTTTTCTAAAATAATGCTTTCATTTTTTTTTTAACAATCAAACCTTTCTTTATTATTTTTCTTTTTTATATTTTTTTGTCTCCCCTCTTGGGTGAGTGATGTTGAAATTTTTTTAAGTTAACTGGAATTTTTTTAAGTTAATAAAAATTATTTTGTGGTCCAATCGTTTCTAAAATGGAATTTCAATGCGATTATCTATGGTGGATAGATTGTGTTATATTTTTCAATTTTTGTAGTTTAATTAGGAATATAACTTTATACAGTTAAATTTAATTCTAATAAATGATATCTAAGTTTCTTTGATAATAAGAGGTACTTACTTACGTTTGTTTGTATAAAAATCGTCCCTTTATTATTGTCATATATAAGGTTTTATAATTCATATTTAGCCCAATTCGATGACAACTCTCAAGATAAAACACTAATGTATTGCAAAAAACTCCCAAAGAGGATACTCTCTAAAATCTAAAACACTTGTGGCTAAGTTATCCTATTTAATTATTGCGGTATTCTTGATTTTTACCTATTGATTATTTGATTAAATTTTACAGATTGATTATTTGATTAAACCTAACGACTGAATCATTTTTAAATCATTCTACCTTTTGTTTTCGTTTTCATGGTCTTATTATCTCTTTTTTTGTTTCCTTTATTTTTTTAAAAACCAATTAGAAAAGTTGGAAAATGACTAGGTGAATTGGTTCCCTTTTTTGGCCATAGTGAAATTGATTTTACCCGTAAAATATTTTCCTGCTATTGATATGTAACCAAACACCAAAAAATAATTTTTTTTACTGAAAATATTATACTTTAAAATAAACGCGCTTGGTTCAGTTTTTGAAAATAAATTTTTGTTTCTAACTAAACAGTAGAAATTGTATAAACTTATATTTGGTTGACAACTTCTCAAAACATTTTTCTAAAAATTTAAAACTGTTATTAAAACTAAAACTCTTGATAACTGTTTTTTAAAAATTTGAACCAAACAATTTTTCAGCAATGCTTGCTCTTTTATATATGAAGTTTAGTTTTAGTAAAAGAGCAAGCATTGCTGAAAAATTGTTTGGTTCAAATTTTTAAAAAACAGTTATCAAGAGTTTTAGTTTTAATAACAGTTTTAAATTTTTAGAAAAATGTTTTGAGAAGTTGTCAACCAAATATATATATATATATATATATATATTAACCTTGCAAACACAAACAAAGCACAGATTAAAACAAACAATCTGTAGCTGTTAGAACAAGGATATTCACAGGAAGATGGACAAGAGCAATATCCATAGTTAGATGACTTCTAGAAAGCTTCGCAAGAGTATATGCAACCTCATTACCATGCCGATAGACATGGCTAAGACATGAGGATGAGAAGTTCCGAGAGGAAGAAGTGTGAAGAGAACTTTGAGCAAGCGTGTTAATTTTATGATGCGAAAAAATAAGATGTAAAATAGGAAGATGAAATAAAAAAATATTAAGAACACAGTAAATACATGGTTCGACACTAAGTCATGCATCCATGAATCAAGAATCACTAAAGTTTATATTTCTTGATATGTTTACACAACATATAGGGAATAAAGTTGCAAACAAAAAGAATAAATTAAGGGAAAAAGGAAAACGAATATAATATATATATATATAATAGAGTAAATAAGGAGAAAAGAATGGAAAACGAATATAATATATATTTCTATATTCTCTCGCAAAGTTAAGATGTGTTTCTCGAATCCAACTTAAATTTGGAAATGAAGAGTATTGAAATATATATAATATATATGTATATTATACATATATTTACATGTATATTATATTATATGTAATATATTATATTATTTTTTCCTTGATATATATATATATATATATATATATATATATATATATAAAAACTAAATTCATATATACCTGTTGACTTTTATACTAGTCTTTTTACTCCAATAGAGGTGACTTTACACACACCACCACCACTAGCAACAGAATTCTGAAAGTATTAGCCAAAAACTCCATCCAATTTCGGAGTTCAGGGAACTGTTTGACCAACATTTTTATTATGAATTTTGTGTTATGGTGGTATACTTTAACGAAATAAAATACTGCCACTAACCAGTGTCTAATGTTCTCACTTTTGTAATGAACCACCGTTCAAAAAATATATATATATATACTAAACATATTTTTATGTTTTTTATTTTAAAAAACTTACCAACCAAAAAAAAAAAAAAAAAGTTCACGAGTTTCTAATTTCTGAGAAAATTAAAATGATTTGGACAATTCAATCTCAATAAGTTAGTTTGTTTGTTCTTTTTTATTTTTTTATTTTTTTGACACTCGGTAAGTTTATTAGGGGTCCTTATAATTGGCGTGTGAATGGAAGAGATGGACCCAACATTTCCTTGCACTGTCCGAATAAGAGGTCAAGTCTTTCATCATTGACTTGGAAGTATTCGTTCATATCTATCCTATAAAATAACCAATTATTCCTCCCAAATCATACGCCACTCTGAGCACAAATGTAAATTCCATAATCTATATATATACACGTCTATAATTAAATGTATATGTATTAATGTTTATACAAAATTTGGATACTGGAATGCGCAGACGTGCCAGAACCTCGAAAGATTAGAGAAATCGAATAAAAAGTACCTCTCTAAACAAAAAGGAAGATCTTTTTAGAACGATCAGGCGATTGTGAAGTTTTTGATTTGCCTTCGATGAAGTTTCTGATTTGCCTTCGATGCTAACCAGTAAATTGAAGTACAATACTGAAAGTAAGTGCATGAAATGTAAAGGAATTGAAACAGACTTGTATTGAAATTGCATTAACTGAAATGACAAGTATTGAATATTTGATTGATGTCGTTGAGAGAGTTTGAAATGTAGTCACTATAAGCCTTACAAAAAGGACCCATGTTGTGATGGCCCTTATTTTTCAAGCCACTACATCCTATGATGAACCGAAAATTGACTCGATAACGGATCCCAATACGGAAGCAAAAGATAGAATATGACAAATAAGCCCCCAGGGGCAAAATAGTCATTTCACATGAAAATGATATCCCTAGAATGTATATCATTCCCGAAACACATCTATGGCTTTCCGTGAAGTCATGGAACTCAAAAGAAAGTAGCGGAAGCGAATTACAAGAAAACCGGACAAAAATAGCCCCAAGGGCAAAATAGTCATTTTTGAAAATATAAAATTGGGTTCTACCGAGCACACTACTAGGAAGACAGCGAAAAATTAATCAAGTTAGACTCAAGAATCACTTGATTCGGAGTCCGGATGGAAGAGAAAAGTCAAAACAAAGTTTTAATGTCATCGAGGCCGTGAATAGTATTTTGACAGCAATGAATAGTAACCTGAGCAAAATGCTGAAGTTTGTGCGCCGTTTTGAGGTACTAAACGATATTTTCTGAAAAAACATGAAGAAGAAACCCCCCCCCTGAAATCACGTTTTCTACCCAGCAGCGCAGAAGGAAACGAAAAAAACACACTGTGAAATGCCCAGAATGTCCCTAATCAGTCTAGGCCAAAAACAAGGAAAATACAACTTTTGCACCAAGTGTTCATTTGACCCTAAATGCATTTCTAGGCTAAAACGATTATGCACGCAAACGTATTTAGTGTTTTTAAGTGTGCGGGAATGGTCCATGGCTCTAAAAAATGGCTAATGCAAAATCCGACTTCCCGATGGCCAAAAAAGGCGAAAATGCACATGAAAAGGGAATTTTGAAACTTAAAATTATAAAATGGTTTCAAATTACCGTTTGGCCCTTGGCCACACTTCATGCATGATTTATGAGACTATATGAAAAAATAAAAATGAAATTCCCACACCCGATGCAAACATGGTGAGTCAATGACTTGCCATTTTTCAATATTTTTATAATATTTCATAAAGTTGAAAGTTGCATAGGATACAAAGTAGATACCATTGGCCTATGGCCTCATTTTGTACATGTCAAATACATTGTAAAGAGTGTACTCACGTACACATTACATGTATGGAATCAAAAAATACAAGTTTTGACGTATAAGGCTACAAATAGGATTTCATGCCAACATTTTCATGAAAACGATACTTCAAGTCTACAAAACTTCCATGGCATAGTGTGCATCCCAAATCAAGGTCCCTGTACCTGAAAAATGTTCCCACTATGTGGGTGAGTAACATAAAGCTATTCGTAGAAGATGAGCATGCATCGACCTATCATTTTACAATTATATCATCTTAAGGTGAAATATGTTAAAGTGGCTCATGCCACCTAACGTCTATATCAAAGTGAGACTCAGGGATCATCCTAAGCTACTCATGTAATTGAAATGAACAACGACATATAAGTATACATGCTCAAGTACATTAAATCGTATTAAAACATGATACACGACATACAAGCATACATGTTCAAGTACCCTAAATCATGTTAAATAAGAAAAGCAATATCCAACATACATACATAAGTATTCAATATACATTTAGAGTACTCATAAATCAAGTATACAAACACAAGTATACTAAGCTAAACAAAATACGCATAAGACAAGTATACATGGCACAAGTATACTAAATGAAATTTAAACTCATGGAGCAAGCATACAAGTTCAAGTATACTAAATAGAATTCAAATACCCATAGTAAGCATCAATTCTCAAGTTACAAGTAATCCATGATTAACAACTTGAAATTAAATAAGAAATCAAATAGTGGAAAAACTAGGACATGTGGTCGCTAG